GGGTTGTAAATGTAATAGACATAAATAAATTTTCGCTTGAGAGCGACATGCTGAGCATCGCAAGTCATTCGCCACAAACCCATATTATACACACACATTATATTATTTTAATTTCACTATAAAGTAATGAGATTAATCCGTATGCAGACTATGTCGTAAGCACAATATGCTTATTAATAATTAAATCACAAAGTATCTCGAGGACCACGTTTAGTTCAGTAACAATATTATTTTACCTTAAAGTTTACTATCTATACTTTATTTGCAATACTATTAGGAATAAGAAGATAAATAAAACATGTAATGGAGAAAAAATCATTGCTTTACAATTTCGTTTCCTTGTAATTATAACAAACAATACCCCGCAAGTTACCAAACAAATTTGTGAGAGAAATGGATAAAATTAAGCCAATGCACTTTATATTAAAGAATAAGGATACTAAAACGTATAATCGTTAATTAACTAAAAGTGCCGACAACGTCAAATGAAAAATGTACAAATCCGACAAATGCTGCCAAAAAAAAGCGTACAGTTCTCGTCGCGGGGCCGGACAGGACATAATAAAATTGTGTTCTGCGGCGCCAAACATAAATAAACAGCGGTGCCGCTGTCAGCACGCGACGACGCGCGAATCTTGTACACAAAAATTATGTACCTACCTACCGTAGTAACATCGCCAAGTTTGCTGATCTTACTAATATTAAAAATACTCAATCAGTGCTTCAGAGTTTTTATAAAATTTCGTACGCGGGTGGATAATTTAGTTACGCAAGCAATTTTATCCTAATTCACACGGACAAAATTACTTTACATGAAATAATATAGTACTGTTCTTTCAATTTAGTTATATCGCAGACAATATAATATTACGTAGTTATATGAATATTGTTACCAACTGGTAACAAGTAATATTTAAAGGCAGATCTACTTATTTTATCATAAAGCTACAACTCATTGAAACTATTTGTCCATATTCCCATTATGTATTTCACTCAAATATTGAACAAAAATTAATTATGTAGTAGCGATATTAATGGCAATAACGTTGTTATATCTGATAATACACTAAAAGGTACATATTCGTTACATAAAGATAAGCAAAATCCCATAATATATAGATATAGCTATCACGTATAAACAACATGACTTACAAAAAGACTTGCTTCCTAGTTATAATTTAGTTATTATCATTGTCTATTAACCAAATGTGCTTATAAATATTTTTTTTTTCTAGTAATTAATTAGAATAGCTTCGTAACAGAAATAGTGACGAATTTGGTAATTATTTTACTTCCTTGTGTTGTAGTGTCCTAAAAAGTAGTTTGGTGATGACATTAAGACAACGTATTCAAAAATATAACAAACTGTTTTATATAAAATTAATTTGGCAGAACATCGTCTAGTTATTTTTAATGATATAGAAGTAAAAGCAACGATATTAGGTAATAAAAATTCTAATACAACAGACTTCTTTGACTAAAATGGTAGACAAGCTAATGGTAATATTATTCGGCACCATATGTATAAATACATGAATTATATAATATATTATCGATTGACTATTAGAAGACAGTCTCATTAAAATCTATCGAAAATATTACTATTAAAATATATACATGTATTACTACTTTGTAAGATGATAAAATTAAGCAAATTACAATCCATTGACAATCTTAAAGAAGAAAAATATATAATATTATTCTTAACAAAAAAAAGAAAGGTCTGTATAGAAATTGCGTATTGGCCGTAGACTGTTTATGTTTAAGGACACCTGTTGTACACCCATCGGTTTCATTGTATTGTAAACAATTTCTCCAACGTACATGTATTGAACGGGTCGTACCCCATCCAATATCTACATGTCGATGTAGCTATTGAATGGGTATTATAATGAATTTGCGTAAGCTCATACCTACTCTCATTTTATAAACAAACAATGTTGTTTACATTAACGGTAGGTTATATTCAATTTGGTATTATATCAGTAGATTATATCACAAATAATTTAACATAAACTTTGACAATTCTCTATTGTTCTATATACGCCTCGGTATCATCTTTATTATGTTATTATATTATACCTATTGACTGTAACTATAGCATGTGTACATACACTTAAGTTTATTTAATTTAATATCTGTAATATTATATTATATATTATAATTATATATATATATATATATATAGCAAAAAAATATGCCTAAGGTAACTCTTTTGATAATGTCGCGAAAGTATATTTTTTAATCAAATTTTGATAGTTATGATGCGTCAACAAGACTGCAGTGATTGAAAATCCGTGTAAGAATTTTTCATCTATATCTGTGATAAAAATCCCTTATTGTTATGAGAATGACCTTATTGCTAGTGACCCAATAGAACATAATAAACAACCATGACAATAAAACACAGTAAACAATTACCGTAACAAAGAATTGCAACAAATTACAATAACAACAACCTAGCGTTGAGTCCAATTAATTCTTACATAAAAACACTTCCAAAACTAACGATTTCCCCGGGAGTATTATTGTCGATAGGTAGTTACGAGTATATACGTCAAGTTGACGAGAGAATATTTTTCATTTGCTGGGTTATTCAACCATTAGAGTAGGCGCTGACGCAGGGCTTTGCTCTAAATATATAATGCTACATGCCTCATTACCCTCATGTCGCACTAGCAGCAACTGCTATTTAAAATAAAAAGAAGTACATTAGCAGACATTATGTCTGGTTGTTTTATTTTATTTTTGTCTAATAAGGATTCTGCACAATTCTGAACTAAAAAATATCACTTTTATTGTCTTAATTGAATATATTATCTAGAGCCAACAATTCTCCCGTATAGCAATACTACCGTATAGTAATACAGTATAATGACTATAAAAACATGTCAGATAGAAATAGTTAAAACGTAATTAAAAGACATAAGAATTTAGCAAATATGTTCGTCAAAAGGATATTGATACAGATATACATTGAATTGAATGCCAAAGATATATAATCAGACATGTGTATAATACGATAGACTGTTTGAGAGAAAAGTCTAAGAAAAGTCTCCAAAGTTGATATACATGATGTCAGATACAGAGATGCGAAGGATAGGAACAAGATAGTAAATTTCTAACGTGAAATATGTGATAGGTATGTATGTCACTAAAGTTTTTGTCCTAAGAATAAGACAACAAGAATAGCATAAACCAGGTATTATTATTCATGTTGATCTTAAAAGTGTTTCTTGATAGAAGATATATTCACTACTTTTCGGTGAACCGTCAATATATTTACCACTGCCAGTTGATATTAAGTAAATTCATAAACATTCACAACTATAAAATGTTAATGGGATGATATAAAAAGTCACAGTACTGGAGTTTAATTCATGTAACATAATACATGAATTAAACTCCAGTACAATCATAAAAGTTCTTTGCATTGTGGTTTGATCTAAATATTGAATAAACTATCAGACACAACCAAAATTCTATATTTTTACTGTGACTTTTTATATCATCCCATTAACATTTTATAGTTGTGAATGTTTATGAATTTACTTAATATCAACTGGCAGTGGTAAATATATTGACGGTTCACCGAAAAGTAGTGAATATATCTTCTATCAAGAAACACTTTTAAGATCAACATGAATAATAATACCTGGTTTATGCTATTCTTGTTGTCTTATTCTTAGGACAAAAACTTTAGTGACATATCATATTCAATACTAATAATGACTAAAGTTATGCCTCCTCAAACATAGCGGCAACTTCGAAGTATTCAGTCTGTTATTTCGAAGTTATTTCAAATGATAAATCACGTCCAAGATATCTTTTATCACTAGGGGCATATTATGAAACTGTTATAACTAAATTACACCGCAAATAACCTAGATGAATCATGTGACGTCTTTTCAGTCGACGTCACTGCGAAAACTGCGACTAATGAATGAAAGTATTGCTCGCCAACTAGAGATGGCATGAGTCTTATCTCCATGTTGTTTGCCATTTGGAACTCGCTCAACTAGTAATTAAATATGTACGAAATAATTTATATCCTCGTGAAGAAATCTAGTAAAGTTGTTGGAAGACTTTATACGATACTATAACTGGATGAGATATGCCAATAAATTACTAGGTACTGTAGTAAAATTATCATGATACAAGAAACGATATTGCAAGAGTGCGACCTCTAGTGTAACAATCGTATAACGGACGGACCACATGCTTGTTGCCTCTCGTGTTAACCAAATATTATCTTTAATTAAACGAGGAAATTTAAATGTAATATTTAAGCAAACCCCGCGAAATGGGAAGGAAATATTTGAATATCAAAAAAGTAGAATTTGGTGAATTATGTGTAAAGTGAAACGAATGTAGATACGCATTAAAACTGTGGGCGGATATTACAAATAAACCTCAGTTAATCGTGTTTTCCCGTTCTACAGATAACGTGAATTTCAAACATCGGTAGTGTTCAATTTTATATGATCAACAACATAGCGGAATAAATAAATAATGATATTTGTAATAAAAATACTAAAATTGAACCTTTATAAATTTTATGACGGCAAAACTCAAACTAACGACAAGGGGTTCCTATATTCTCAACAGACTTCAAAACGCAGGAAATTCTGAACACCATTACATTACTCATAAGTTTGGTTATATATGAAATCGGTTGTGCTATCTGACTTTGAAATTGTTATTGGTATTTTGGAAGTAAATCAATGAATATGTCGATATCTTCACATTTAAACTTTTTTCTTTGTTGTCTGGGTCAAATATGAGAATAGCCTTACTATTAAGTACAATAAATACCACCAGTACTGCTACATCACACGCCAGGCGGTTTGGCATAGCACATTATTACAAGTTTTCGTTCTCTTGCACTAATGTATTTCTGTGTTGTTCTGTTCGTGTAGTTATTCGACTCTTGCAACTTACTTTGTAACTATCGACTAACCTTAAATATTCATTTATGTAATATATTTCTTTTGTTACAGATAATAAGGCAATCAGTTACAATTATGAGGGACGAACGCCCGAGCCTACCGCGTGTGCGTATAGCCGTCATCGGCAGTTCAAGAGTTGGCAAGTCCGGTAAGAAAACACACGAAAATACACCTAGTACATAAACATTGTCGACTGTCGTTCCTATGATTTTTCGCGAATTTACATTCCACCGTTTATTTCGTCTTGCGACCCAAATTCACAAGAATCTGTCATAATCTAATTGGTTTCATAAGTCGTCAGAAACACTCATTTTACTTTCCTTGCATTACTTTGTTCCAGAGTAAAATTGGATTAGGCTATATAAATTTGCTTTTGTCCTAGTTTATTTATATATAATATAACAATCTAAAAAAAGAATAAATTAAATTTATCGATTCTACTCTATGAATCAGTCTTTCGAGCTGGCGAAGCCAAATAAACAGTTACGAGGAAATCAGTAGAACTCGTAGGACCTTCTAGTAACATTGAAATGTTATACTATTTTTAAGTTTGATTGAACTTCCAATATCATGCGTAACTTAATTTATTTTAAGAATAATGTTTATCTTGTCTATTTTTATTATACATGGTTCGATATGATCGAAAAGTGCAATACCTAAGTTATACGAAAGCTGGACGAAATAAGACTACAATCAAAGGTTTAAATACAAGAATAATAATAAAGATCATGAACTAGTGTATTCTTCGTCTCTGCTTCACACACAGAAGATAGAATCTTACAACATTACAATAAGAGGATTACAACAGCACAGATTTTCAATGTATTTCTATAAATATTTATTTAAATGTGGTAAATTGAAGTACAAGATATGGCAAAGAAATTACAAGGTACAATGGTAACGTAGTCCTCCGTTTTGGCACGATACATAAGGATACTACTGGCTTCATACGATGGCGTAATATCCGTGGTGTTGTTCATGTACTTATATAGACTACGGTACAAATTTGCATCAGTTTAGCAATCTACTTACAACCAATACTTTACTTCCTTACCTACACATCCACTAAGACACAATTTCTTGTAATTCTCACTGTAACAAGAGATAAGGTAAAGCATCCAGTTTGCAGGTCAGCCATTTGTTATGTATGTAGCTCACCAGTCTGCATAGCGATGTAGGTGGGTGATGTAATCTTTATTGAGCACTATGTTTTACTTAACATTCCAATCTAGTGCTGATCAATCAATCAATCTGTTCACGAGTTTGTACTACAGGCTACAAATCAGCTTAACTCGGTTACTAGTTCACAATCCAGGTCACACACTAGACACATTTGTATATGTATATTACACATCGACAAATATGTGTAATATACATATACAAATGTGTCTATACAAAGAAGTTGCTAGTAAGAAAACTAATCATTTGAAAAGTAAACAGCTTATAGGTGTATGCATAGAAACCAAACTTTAAAGGGATTAACAGAACAAATAGTAATAGTGGTAATATAGTACACCCACCTGTACTAAGAATATAACCGGCGGGCACTAATGGATGATAGGTTGAAGATGAAATCAGTTCAGTTAACGTATCGTGGCGAATACATCAGGAATTTATCCATCACCAGGAAGTTGACCGGTTAGGGTGCAACATTAGCATTGATATCACTTAGCCCCCACGACAGATAACATAATTGCTTTAATTGATAATAATCCCTTCTACCGTTAGAAAACAACAGATTTAAATGTATTTGTTGGTGTTAAATGTTTATGTGTGGCTATTCATCAGTGAACACTACACTTGAAGTTTTAAAATTCCAGAACATGTATAATTTTAGCATACTGTACATAAAGTTTTTAAGAGACAGGACGCTGGCATTATTTATTATTTTAATGGAATAATGTACAAAATATTGAATTCTATCTATAATCTATATACTACTAGCAGGAAAGAGAAGATAAATGAATAACTTTTCTAAAAAGTACTAAGACAATATCTTTTACATTTACATATTGTATTACTATAATGTTTAAAATTCATTTTTCTTTTGTTACAGCACTGATTGTTCGTTACCTTACAAGGAGATACATCGGAGAATATCACTCCAATACAGGTGAGTTTACCATATATAAAACATATATATTATTAATCCAAATTAATAATACAAATGCGAAAGTGTTACATTTTTACGACTGTGGCTTGTTTGACATTTCAAGCATTTTCAACCTAGTGAACTGCTGACGCTATTTCGTGAGAAGTCTCCAGTTGAGACCATACACATAATCAGCCCGTTGCTGAACAGGCTATGTAAATAATAAACATATTTTTCAATCATTTGTTTTTTTAATAAACTATAACATTAGGTTTCAATACAGAGCAACTATCATAAATTTAAATTACACTTTCCTAATTACCATAATTTTGTATTAATAATCACTTAATTCTTAAATGTGTTTTTTCTTCTACAGATCTGCTGTACAGACAAACGGTACCTATAAATGGCACACCAGTAGAATTAGAAGTAATTGACGTCTCCGGCAATTCCGACAAATTTCCATCTGAACAGGTAATTAATCAACAGCAATTTGTTACTGTCGTCACTCCACTCAAATAGAATACTAGAACATTCTTTGTCATATCTAATCGATGTTACCAGATCACAATTTTTTTTACTACCAATTTTTTTTTCAAATTCACATTAAAAATCCTATTTGGAAGAAAAAATTCGAGGCAAATGAAAAATAAATAAGTTTGATTTTAGATTGAGGAGACAATCTAAAATCAAACTTATTTATTTTTCATTTATTACTCTTTATTGCACCTTTAAAAAAAAACAAAATTAAACAGATTATACATAGTATGTAGGATACGAAAGGCGGTCTTATGGCTTAAGCGATCTCCGCCAGACAAGGCTACAAGCTTACTATTACTGTTTGTAGCCTCTCGTGAACCATGAAAAATGTTATAACGTTTTGTATACCTCGTAAATCCATAACCTTCGCTTTGACCATTCTATTTCAAAGATTAGGAATTAATACCAGGCTATATAATAAAATGTAGGTTAATGCAGGTTTCCAGACCTTGCCACATTAAAACAATCTTCAGTAATATTTGTGTAGTTATACGAGTTTTTAAATGCCCATGAGACGACCTCTGTTTGTTAAATCACCAGAAGATTAGGGATGTCTGCGATGTTGTAAACACAAAGTCAAGGTTCATACTACTATTCATATAATCAGTTTTAGATTTTAATTGTTTTACAGCCGACAGTGAAAATCAAGGATTATGTTTTCATTTCACTAGAATGGTAAATAAAACTGACCACCTGATGGCTTATGAAAAGTTGTAACCGCCGCCCATAAACATCACTGTAGTTTAGGCATTATAAAGTCTCACACTTGTGATACTTTTTATATGATATTCTTGAGGTTTAAGGTGATGAATACTTTCGAAAAACAAAATGTAAACAAAACACATAGGAGTAGAAATATTAGAAACAGGGAGCAAGTCTGCGTCTAATATAATAGGTACTTCTAAAGGAACTTAATATTTGTTTGCCAGGTACGTATTATATATTTTTTTAAAAATGAACACTTTCTACTTGATAACATTTTCAAAGACAAAGCTATCACGCTGTATTTCCGTCTATTGAATATTCTATAATAATAATAATATTCTGCAATATCCATTTACAATTAAACAAACTATATCGGCGTTAACTATCATTATGTAATATGAAATAATAAAACATGAAATATTAAGTGCGTTTATTTACTACTTCCGTAAACATAAACATCTAAAATCCAGTTATAGGTACTTTCGTAATTTTTATCAGTATGTGCGAAATGATTATAAATAACATTACGCTATAATAATAAACAAATCTCAGATGATCTCAATCTACATAAGAATGAGTTTGAAATAATAAAAAGAGTTATTACATATAATTTCACATATACCAATGCCCTATACAACAAATCAAATATATGATCGCAGTTTAGATGCCCTTCCGCCTTGGAACAACACGGACGAGAGCCTTCCGCAAACAAAATGCGTTATTAAACGTAGACTGAACCCGTTTTACGATATAACAAATAGGTTAATCGTTGCAAATATAATATACACGATGGAAATGTGGGCCGAGCTAGTGGCCTGCAAGCGCGTGCAGTATGACTCTTCTGTTTACAGTGTTATGCTACCGGTGCATTTTGCCACCTTTAGAATAGTTTCAACTACACTATACTCACTCAGTTTCTTATCCAGGGTTGCCAGTTACATCGAAATATAACTTTTATATATTAACTATAATTAAAGAATATTGTAAAATTAAAATAAAATATTAATTTGCAGTATATTTTTATACATTGTACATATATGTATAGAGACCAAAATTTTTTTTGGATTTTAAAAAAAAAATAAAATGGATATTTTTTAATAACTATTGTCAATGTGACCATACTTTCTGTCTGATGGAAATTAGAAGTTTGCTCTCGCAACAGCTAAACTTCATTTTAATGACGTGCAACTATTTCGCGCCCCGCTTCATAGCCTCAGAACTATAAATGAAGAAGAATGGGTAGGGGAAAATATATGGAGACACACACGCTTATTTTATTGAAAATATCACATTTGATTGACGTGTTAATAAAATTAATGAATAATGTGATAACATTTAATTGCACTTATTTGTCTTTCACAGAACATTACACGTTCATTAACAGATTTAATGATACTTAACTAAGTAGTCATTAGCGACAATTTATGAAACGTCTCTGAGCGCGATCGTATAATTCATATTATCTAATGTTAGTACTAGTTTCTTTTAATACTTTATGACTAAGAAACTTTAAAATAGATTAAAAATAGAATACAGGAACAAAATTAAATGTGTGATATTCTCCTTATTATTTTTATGTATGCAGCCTAGATATGTCAGTACTAAACGAGTATTCAGTTACCACTTTTTATTATACAAATAACGTTGTTTTCTCTACCTAGATTTTTTACAGACACGGATTTTTACGCGAATTGTTACATTAAGGTAAATGAAACGCTGAAACTTTAATTTGGAATTATTACCGACCCACTTACATTGTTTCAGTGTCTTCCTAATATAAAAAATATTGCGCAAAGGATTATATTTGCAATGAAAATTGTTTCATAAAACTATTTTTTTTAGTACAAACTTTAGTTGAACGTCGCATAAGTTATATAAATCTTGCCCAATTTTGACTAACTACTGTATACTTAAAATGTAATGATGTCTGCTCTCAACGCTCTGTATTACGCAATCTTTGACGTGATTTCCAAATTGCTTCCTGTTTACTTGAAACATACAACCAATGAACAGTAATCAATACACTTAAAAAACTGATATTTATTCAGTTTTTTTTCAGTTTCATTAAACTATTTACCATAATTTTAAAATTATAAAGTTAGATATTTTAACTATTGGCAGTTATTTAATAATTTTGTTCTATAATACCAGTAATTACTCTATTAATATATACCAGATATTATATTGGGCATTCTTTTAAATAATTGTAAGTTGCATATCGGATAGTAACAAATACAAAAATATTTTCAACTTTCGTGCTTCATCCATTCCATTCATTATTACGTTGGAGTATTTTTGTCCTCGTCCGGGATTGTCCAAGGTTTGTTGTGTTTCTGTGGTTTAGCGAATCTTACTTCATTCCATGTTCACAATGACTGATGCTAATCAGAAGTTGTCTCGCAGCGTGGGTGAGCTGCTGAATCGTTCATACAGCTAATTTTAACATGGAATGTTGGCTCCGACGCAGTAATTAATCACACATACTTCTAGTCCACTGTCTAGTCTTTTATGCAAAGTGTCCTGTCCAGTATTTTTAGGAAAAATGTTATTGCTTTTACCAGATTATGATGCATCCTGCCCATTAAAAAGCAAAGTGAATCTGTACGTGGAAAAAGTGTGATCATTATGTATTTCAACACACCATATTAATATTGATCCTGTCCAAAAACATTAAAATTGTAAACATGTTTGTTACTTTCATCGGATTGTTTATTTTTTATTATATTGGACATTATAAATATAAACTACGCCAAATTTATTATTTTTATGAACATAACAAGACAATTATAAAGCATGAAATTAGTTAAAAATAAGCAAATACAAGTAAAATTACTAAATACAAAATCCTAACACCTTAATCTTCAAGAATGGGAACCTGAGCATCGAACGTCTCAGAGCATTCAGTACTGTCTTTTGAACTATGACTTGGCGACGATTACCATTTCCATCAAATTCGTTTAAATACAAAAATAAATTAAATTTAAAACAAATACAAGTTGTTCTATTCTTTGTTACAGATTCAATGGGCAGATGCCTGCTTATTAGTATACGCAGTAACAGACCGTAATAGTTTCGAATATGCAACACAAGTATTGGAGGCGCTGAAGAGAAACCCCACCAACGGCAGTCCGGCACATACACCTGCCAATACACCAGCAAATATGCCCCTCGCTTTGTTGGGCAACAAAACGGACTTAGATCACTTACGGCAGGTTAGTTAAGTTTTAGAACTTTAGCAACTTAAGTTTTAAAATTAGATATACATGTATATCTAATTGTAGTATATGTGGCTATTCTCTTTGGTCGAGTTTATCTATAACGTTTGTAGTCGATGGTTATAACGTACTCTGTACATTTTACAGAATATAAAATAGCGGAAGCCTATAGAATTCGCTTTTTATTTAAACTAATATTTAATAACAGTACATTAATAAAAAATAATATTCAATTTGCAAAATTTACAAAATATTGCATTAGATTTCTTTTAGTTGATACGCAAAATTATAAATACAACAGTTTTCTTAGTATTTAAATGTTTACTATTAATTCAGACCTTGATTCTTCAAAAGTTGAAGTGTAATGCTAATGTCTATCATCTTTTGTATATGAAGCCAGTTTTTATATTAAAACGTGATGGATTGCTTACAGTAGTTTACTACAGTATATTTTGGAAACCTAATTGCAAATCTATACTTTCATCAGGTTATAACATCAGTTACCTTCGATTCCATAAATATTACCTACTATACACGATGCAATAGGATTCCAGTTTCAAACTTTTCACGTATTTGTTATGAAGACAATGGAGTGTCTTCAGTATATAGCTATACAAAATGCACAATATCATCGTGGTATATAGCTGTCTTTACATCATACCTGACAGACAGTTTCCAGTTTTCACAATACAAGTAGACACATAGTCACTTGAAAACCATTCGAACATAGACATTTGTATCTCTAGGCTCTTGTTTTCTATTGAAAGCCTGCCAGGTTGGAGGCGTGTTCAATTTTGAAACTTACAGCAAGTAAAATAAGGATAACTTTACTGATTCAATATTAACAAAACAGATATCTGCAAAATAAGCATTTCAAAAATAATATCGAATTTATTTTTAATGATTACATTACAGTATTTTAATTTTGTTTAATTTTAAATTATGTGTGTATTACATAATTAAATGTAAATTTGATATTTGTGATAGGTATCAACAAAAGAAGGTCAGACGGTAAGCGCAGCACATGGAGCCTCCTTCAGTGAAGCCAGTGTTGCGGACAACTCCGGCGATCTCTACCGTTGCGTCGATCGTCTTCTCGCAGAGGTGCGGACACCACAGCGCACACGCAAATTCTCTGTTACAAAAATGCTCGGCTCACTTATAGGTAAGTTATATTTTGAATACATTTAGAAACTATACATATTTTTAAAATGTAATTTATGGGTTACATAGTGGCGACATTTAAATTGCTACTTAGCGTGATGAGTGTATCGTAGCATATGTGCTATGGCAGAGGAGGTTAATTTTTATCGAACTAGTCTGAACTACTGTCGTAACGTAACACATCACATCACATCCCGAAAGAATATTTATGTTATTCCTTCATACGCATAAATTTCATACAATTATATTACATGTAACCACGCGGTATATGGAATCAATTATTATTGTATACTAGCGACCTATCCCGGCTTCGCACGGATGTTCAGTACTATAATACGCATGTATTATACATATAAACCTTCCACTTAAATCACTCTATCTATTGCTGAGAACTGCATATAAATTCGTTAAGTAATTTATAAGATTCACGGAATGACCCCTATCATTGCGAGTGCAGATGGCACTCCAAACCTGCAGTAGGATTTATGGAGCGGCTGAAGGCCAACTCCCACCTGATGGATACTACTTCAGCCTGAGGGTATCGATAGGGGTTCGTACTCGGCTGGCCGTCGTACTTTCGACCCCTTTTTAAATTGAACGGGGGGTCGATCGAAGAGTGCTTAACGTTTCATAGAATTTGTGTCTCATACCAAGAAATCGTTGCAGGTGGTGCGGGTAACAATAATTTGGGAAACCGTAGCGGTTCAGTGGTGGCGTGCCCGCGCGTGCCCACGCCAACGCGGCCGCCGCTGGCCGCCGCCGCGCCCTGACCGCCCGCGGCGCCCGCGCACCGAGCGCGCTGATGCCTCGCCGGCGCCGTGTGGCTCGCCTGCCTGCCCGTGCCCGCTCGATTCGCCGCGCCCACGCCGCTCTCCGCTGCCATATGAACTCACTCACTCACTCCCAGTGATACGGTGCTCCCTATGAACGGTCCTGCTGTTCGCGTCGAATCTATTCCACAAACTCTATTTGACGCTAGTGACAACGTTCGAGTACCTAAATGACTTTCAGGAGTATCACTTTTGTGGTTCTCTCACCAAAGATTTAAGTGTAGATAGTAATGAGCTATTTTATACTAATGTTTTAGAGAAGAGACTACGTATTCGAAATATCTGCGATATACGCGTGTAATTATGTGTTATTAAGCTTACTTACTTTTTTATACAATTCTACATTTCTATTTTAGATCAAAGCATTTTTTTACTCATAACCTTTTTATAAAAAAAACGTTAATGCACTAGAGAACATCTAGCAACATACCGAGGAAATTGATTGAGAGCGCAGCAGCGAATACTTTCTCTAATACTTTAGTAGACAATACTTCAATAAACTAGCGTAAGTCATTTCTGTGTGTCGCGATATATAATTTCAGTTTTTATATCGCCTGAAAGTGTGTAGTACAATTTTAATTAATGTATTTGTGACAAATAGTGTGAAACAATTGTTTTGTATATGAGTCGTTCAATTATAAAATGTTTAATGTTTGATTAGATATTGACAATAATTACTGTATGTGTGTCAGTTATCATAAAATTTAATTACGTAATTTACTCAACTACACATAATGTTAAGTGCCAAAAATTGTAGTGTTTACCAAAAAATCTAACTATTCGTTAACTCTGCAAGAAATTATTTATAGTCGTAACCAAATATATCGAAATGTTTTATAATAAAACTATATATAGTACGTTTTAACGTTTCTAAAAGGTAATTCATCTACATGAATTTAAATTGTTTATTGTATGAAATTTAATAAATTACAGAATTTGGCTGAATGTGATTTATATATAGAAATGCATTAAAAGCAATCTTATTTATGAAGATATTTGGTGAGTTACTTTTTATTATTATGTCTAGGAGCTGAAAATGTATATTATTTACCCATACATATGGCCTACATTTTATCGACTTTCTACATATACAGTTTTTATAAAGTGTAACCTGTGTTACATAATAGTTGTTTAATATCTCTTTTATCATTTTTGTAATATATGTACATCATAGTAAAGAGATCTAGGCTGGTAACACAAATAAAAAACTAGCAACAAACTAAATCGACAATATCTTAAACTTCAAAAACTACTAAATACATTCAGGAATGTATTTAGTAGTTTTTGAAAAAATCGATTAAAATAAATCTTATACAATAGTATAATTTTATTTTAATTAATAACTAAAAGCGTTTTTTTGGAAAATATATATAAAACAATGTTATATATAACTAAACAAAATTATGCTTGGAGAACTTGTAAATTTGTATAAATCGATTAAGTGTTTACTACCTTGTTGTTAAACATGAATACAGGCCTAATACATTTCGTATCTAATAAGTAGGTACTTATATTAGATTTTGTATGGATGGATTTTTTATACAATATACGTCTTCTAACTTTAACGGTGTTATTTGTAAAACTATTTGCTACAACATTATTTATACAAAACAGACGTGTATTGTAAAGTGCGTAATAATATTATTATGTTACCTACATTTCTATACTATTTATAAAACATTAGTCATCTTCTAGTCATAGAATAAGGGCTGTGAAACTTGTGGATGCAAAGAGAATTGTACATAAGATGAACGAAGGGCGGTACTGAAGCAGTGGACAATTTTAGTAAAATAATACTAAAATTATAAGTTGACTTGTAAATAATTTATTTGTGATATTCGTGATGAATCTTGCATACTATAGACAGCCAAAATGATAAATTAACGATATTGTTATAGAAACAAATTGTATATACCTTGTTGTAATTCATTTCTCAATAATGAACTATCTTACTAGTCTCAATGTACTGCTACAACATTATTAAATACCATATTTTATCATTGATCGTATACTTCGAAATGATATTGTCGTTGCTCTTAAGAAATCATTAAAACTTTACATTTTTACCATATTACTATATACTGCTATAAAAACGTAACAGTTGTTCATTTTCTTAGTTTCATATGTATCTACGAGCACATGTATCTAAACAAAAGACAATACATAGTTGGTTTTTTTAAAGCGATATATTGTATCAATCTTTACTATATAATTCATTGATTACTGACTAAATTACTAGATTTCTTAGTTGTTTTGGTTTACAATATTTTAATAATGTTTAATGTTGATATAAAATTGGAGCTTTTCTATCAACCCTGTTGCTTAATGTCTTCATGATAGCTCTATATACTATACAAGGAAATGTTCTTATACTATGGTAATCGTGCTGAAAGCACTTGTGAATGGTATGGCATGGTGAATTGTCGATAGATAGTTGATAAGCGGACTAAAAAGAAGTCGGAACTGATTGGAATAAGTTGTAAATAATTTTGAATTGATTAGCTTTAATACTATTAAACGTTTCATAATATAATACAACAGTATTTTCCTTTTACTAACCTTATATGAGCAGACATACATTTTTACAGAAAACTTAAAAAATCAAGAACCCATTATAAGAAAATAAAATACATTATTTCCATATTATCCCGAAAGACAAACACTTCTCTGTTCTGTCAGGCCAACTGATTACAGTAGTAGGTAAGGCCAGGACAGCGAAATAAATAAACAAGAAAATCGGAACAATTTATACAAAGTGGAATACTAGCAAAAATGTCTATGGCTTGACCTCATAAAATATAACGAATAGATAAATATATATGTCATAAGCACCATGTTACGACGTCCAATGTATACGAAGATTACGATCGGATTAAGGCTGCGGTCACCCGACAAAGAACATGTGACACATTCATTCGAAACCAAAAGTAATCAAGACTTCAAGAAGTTAATATAGAAAAGGCAAAAGTAAATGTGCGATCATAAATTATATAATATAATAAAAATAAAGAGATATACGTCTATATGAGTGAGACTAGGTACCCAGTCTCACCTATTTCAAAAGTCCCGTCCTAATAAGATAAGAGGTATGACATCTTTGCCCTCTGAAATCGCAACGCATGAGTGGTATCGTGTTGACATGATAACGAGATGTCCGTAGTGCTCTTCATGTATATACCTACCTACACGACGGTTACCGCTTACAATCGGTTAGAGCGTTTGTTCCAATGTTTCCAATCACATTAAGAAAATACTTTATTATCTATAAAGTGAACTCTGAGATTTGACAAAATCTTGCCCTGTTTAAAAGGCACATCATTCCCCAGGTAAAATCGGGACGGTCCACTAGTTAATGCAAAGGTAAATTACCACCGGTAATAATAAATGAAACTACACCCACAATCGAGAACTTTCAGTCGTTTCATATATTTCACGAATAGGTAGACTACCGGGGACGTATAAAAATAAACGCATGCCTTTTGTGTTTTGGTTACTCCGGACTGCAAAAGCACGCGCCGTAATATAGTGGTCTGATTTTTGCTCCCTTCTTAGAATCTAGGTAAAAATAACGGTTATAACTCCATACGGTACACTCATCATATTATTTTCAACATAATTAAATTAATTTCACATATTATTACTTTTGAATGAATATATTTTCCTTAATCACTATATATTTAACAAAACGTTCTTTATTAGAATTATGTATTTATATCGTATTTAACAGTAGATATAGAGAATTCAAAAGTCATTCGAAATGTTATTCAGAAGCTTAATTAACGATAATAATCGAATTTAATTTCATGAATTACATATGCAGCCATTGCGGTTTATATAATTTAATTCCTCATAATGTAAAATAATATTATGAAAGTAATTCCGAGATTTCGTACTGAATACTGTTTCGTACCTTAAAGCGTGGCCTAGTCTACACAGACATCAGTATAAAACGTACGCTACATTCATTTACATAATTATGGAAATAAATCACTTATTTTGCTAAATTTATATAGGTAAATCGCAAGTTACACGAAACCGTTTTGATGTCATTATCCTGCTGTAGTTAAAAAAAAAACGAGATTTCTACCAAAATATTCACACAAATTGAGCTTAGGTTTGTACACCGTTTGTTTTCTCTTAAAAATCCTCTTTTTTTTTCAATATAAATAAATACTAGTCAGAGCAACAGTGGCAATTCTTGTCTGGCATGTATAAAAAATAAACTCGGTATTCTATTTCACTGGCTGCTGTTCTGTGGTACTCGTGGAGTGGACCTACCGCAGATTAATCTTAGATTTCGAATAAGGCACTCTATGGATGAGCGGATTCTTCATGATAAAAGATAAGTACACGATTGTGTTTTTGTTGATAGATGCTGCATAATCTCGACTTCTTCGAATATGGAAATATTTGTGCTTTTTATTTATTCTATTTTCAAAGCTTTTTCATTATAATAATAATGATTTATGCCTTCCCATTATTTGGGATTAGCGCAGTATTATCTTCTTCTAACAGATCCCTATCTGCCGTCATATCTGAGATTACTCTCCTTTTATGCATATCAACATTCACACAGTTCATTCATCTTTTCCTTGGTCGTTCTCTCCTTTTACATGCATCCACTAATGATTGTATTATATTACAATTGCCTAACAATAAAAATGTCAACGAACATTCTCCTCTCTATTAATAACGTATATATCTGAATATATCCCTCAGGATAAATAGAATTAACTGGCTTTGGTAAGCCAAAAGTATTAAAGTTTATTCATAGAAAGGAGGAAGGAAAATACTACAAAATATAAATTCCCAAACTTATGTACTGTGTGTATAAAATATAGAAAAACGAGAATATACTTACATCCAGCAGTTCATATCATTCCACTACCATATAATCATAAACTTCATAGGAAATAATAAATTACAATCTTATATGTAAACTTAAAACAAGAAAAGGAATTTTAAAATCGACTTTTAGAAAAGGAATGGTAATATAATAGAATATATGTTACATACTAAAAACAGTCTATATAACAAACTTACGTCTAAGTTATATTATATTGATATCCTAGTATTTTGAACACATAGATTCAGAGTTTGATTATACTTGTATTATTTTATCACGTGTATTAATGCAGTCAATACTTTTATTCATACAAACTAACTTAAGTAAATAAAAACTAAAAGGATCAAAGTGGCCATGGCAGCTGTCTAGAAGTATCTATAGATATATATAATTCTACAATTGCCGATCATATGCTGAATTCTGGAACTAATTACTAAATGGAATTAGATGCGCCTAAACGTCTTTACTGATCGTCACTATTATCCACAAATGGTACGGAAGGCCATAGAAATAAACAAACATGCCGATATTTACGCAGAAAAATAGTTTAAAGTTATCAATCTAATGACGGTAATTGAAGAAACTGCCAGCACCTATCGTCAATAACATTGCTGTAACTCCAGTCAGTTAGTCAAAACATCGAGAGATGTAAATGGCTTATTTACCTTAAAATTAATCGTGTTAAAGCCTGTTTAACCATATTAATAATGTACTAATCGAGAAAGTTTAAAAACAAGTGAATAAAGCTTGTGTAAAATAAAGTAGAACGTGATATTCAATAAAGTGGTGTTTATATTTTATAGATCTACTCCACATTTTACTCCCAACGAATTCCATAAATAAAGAAAAAACAAAGAAACAGCGTATTACTCATAAACTATTTCAGAGAATTCCTCCAAATTTGGATATATACTTTAACAAGTTAGTGTATGTTAACACGTCAAAATATTTATCCTAATTTGTTGTACATAATTCCATCTGCCAGATAATAAGAATACCTACTAATATCTTGAAATACATATCTCACACCAAATTCTGTTGTTTCGTACATAAATTAATCCTGTGCCAATATTTGAATGTTCCTTGAATTATACAACTAACAATAAACATTGGAAATCCCATTATTTCTCTTTATAAATTGCACTCTATCCAGACGTGAGCTTATAAGACTACTATAAAATGATAAATGGAAATGTTTATACCTCCAAGAAAGTAGCCACTTGCTGAATAGTCCTATAAATTATTTCTGATATAAGAGTACAGTCATGTACATAAACTTAAATATAAATAATCAAAATAATATCAATGGATAAAATTATCAAAATAGTATACCTTCACGACTGTAGCAGATAAGTTAGTCAGATGCATTTTTAACTGTCGTCGTTGTGTTGAAAGCAATATTTGACTAATTTTGAGTGTGTTTTTTATGTAATTGGAAAGACAGGTCGTCTGATGGTAAGTGGTAGCTGTTCATGTACTCTCCGTACTTGAACAGCAGCACTACGAACACGTTATGATGTGATACGGCTCATACATTTGCTTTCTGAAGGATTAAAATATCATGCCTCTTATCCTAAAATTTCACTGCGTTATCTCACCCTACAAATGGAACACAATTTACAAAGCAAATCATTTGGAGTCAATATTTGTAGTAAGTATTCTTGAATTCAACATATCAGGGGGCAAAAATAACGCGACCGCGCCTTCTTATGAATTAACGCAAAACATAAAACATATCATAATCAACTATATAAAATAATTTTCATAAAAAACCTACACCAAACACTCAAAAATATGAGACTACTCTGAATGTTTCTTCTTTCAAACAAAAATAATTTTCTGAAATTGGTTTATAAATGACGGAATTGTGTAGTAACAAACTTTAAAAAACATACGACCCTATTGAGAAGCTACTCCTTTTTTGGAATCAATTAAAAAATAAAAATAAACAAAAAAAACTCTAATCTAAATAGGGAGCTTCAAAATAGAGGAAAAGATATAGAAACATGAGTGTAATTGGTTGACTGCGTAACCAATTATGAAATTGAAATAAGAGGAATATAAATACTGGATATGACATTTAACCTACTTCTAATTTGCAATCATCACAAATCTAGTTCCACATGTGCAGTGGAATATACTATTGGACACCGGATCACCTCAAGAGTCAATGCCCCGATCCATTTACGGCTACCCAGTGCCAAACAATTTAATAGGTTAGTGAAGTTTTTATCGCTGTCTCATCGTTCTAGAATAAATGAATGTGGGACCCTTAAACTCCTATCTATTTTATTATTTTATAATTATATAATAATGTATATGTAAAATACCAGTAACTCAATAATAATGTAATTAATTAAAACAAAAATGTGTAGGTTGGATAGGTAAATTAATATATATAGGCAATTTTTGATCAGAAGAATATTCTCTAATTATTAATTGTTAACTTTTGTTAATTTCGAATCCAATTAGTCAAAACATTTAAAACTTGTTTAACAAATTAATAATGTCATTCTGTATATACGCTTTTTTATTGGAGCACCTAGGTCACTTTGCTATCTCTAATTTGAACTCTAAATGCTACATGTTTCTATCCATTTTAGTAGAGTCTCTAGGAAAGGTAGGCACGAATACAAATTAAAATAGCCTATAGTCTGTCTTAATTTGTGCTTGCTTTACTCGAAATAATATTACACCTTTTAACAAATATCAATTCATTTAAACACGATATACGTAGCTGTCTTAAAATTTACACTTTATAATTCTTATATTTGACAAATTACTTTCGGTATTTATCATAAAAAGTTTACTGTAAAAAAATGCGGGATATTTTCTATATTTTCAATTTAAATATTGGTTACCTATTATAGAAGAATGTATTTATGAAGACAAAAACTGTAACTCTATGAAATTCATACCGGTGATTATGAGACTTTTAAAAATATATTTATTCCCTTTAATTAAGTATTACAGTTGAATAATTAATTCTATGATTTTTTTATACCCATAGATCGATCATGCACGCATAAAATTACGTAAATCACAATCGCATTTCGGAACAATGCTCTGTACGGCGAGATGAGAGGAGGGTGCGCGCCCCAGCTGCGTGTCCCGATCGATCTGTGGACCGCGTCAACCAACATCCACTACGCGCTGCACTGTCTGTCAACGCGGTTCCAAATTCAAACGTGCTGTTCCATATTTTAATTTAATTTTATTTTTTAAATAATTAATATTAGTCAAGTCATAACCTCTGTGATGTGTTAATTTTTTTGTTATAAAAATGGAGGGGCGAAGGTCCTGGGATGGTGTGCCGTTGGGCGAATCACACTCACCACCGCAGTCGGTGCCGGGCCGAAGAACTCCATTAGGAGCTGTCGGTCTTGGTGGATTCTACATGCAAGGCGGAGCACCTCCGCCCCCTCCACAGCATTGTTACCCTACTGACGAAAACCAACCAGAACCCGGAACCAGCTATGCTCAAAGGTTATTAATATACTTTTTAAGTGTTGTTTATATAGAAATAACAGTAACAATTTACGAGTTTACAGTATAGTGCCCCATATCATGTAAGCAGATATGTAGATAGAAAATTTATAATCATATAGCATCAAATTTCCATAATCCTATGATACTTATGTGTGTAAATGTTGATCTATATTCATTTATGCAATGTACTTGTTTGTGGTGATCTGAGCATGCGCAGTATAAATATGACAACACTCTACCATTCAATCGAAAAATAGGTATAAGTAAATATTTAAAAATTCAATAATTTATATTTCATCATAGTACATGCACTATAAATTATACATTTTATTTGCTCAATTTATATCTTTTTATATATATATACATATACAATTAGTTTTACGTGTGTTTGTCACCTAATGGCTAGAGTGATTTCGATATCATTTTGTGTGTACATTTCAGTAGGTTCCTGGATGGTTTAAAAAAGTAATTGGACCCTATAGGTGGCGCTGTTGTTCTGGGCAGAAACATGTATACTTGTATATTACTTACAAAATAATATGAAGAACATAAACATAGTATAAAAAAATAATAACAGTACAATATACATATTACTTGAATATATTCATAATAATTTTATTTATTTAAACAAAAAAAGTATTTAACTTTACGCATTTAAACGGAAGCACATTAAACATTTAACAATACTGCTATTGTATATATAATACAAAGCGAAGTTTACCTATTATAAAACAAAAATCGCTGCATTTATATTCAAAATGATACGTTTAATCCTTGACATATGCACATATGGAGTAAAAATGGACTAAATATAAACCAATGCGCGATGCACCATCTGTACACAATAGTGAATAGAACTAGTCTCCCCACCGACCCTTACTCGCTTTCGCGATACGCATTGACCATTATTTTCATTAGTACGTATAGTGTACGTACAGACCTAAAAATAGTACAGAAATGACAAACCAAAGCGTTACTTAAATTAATTGCATTAATATTTATTTATAATAAATGAAACATTAAATCAAATATATTTAACTAAGTATAGTAATCCTTGGCGATTTCACTATGATGAACAACATAGTAAATTCAATAAAACCGCGTCCATGGCTATAAAAATCGGACCTGCCGCTCCGTCTCCTGCAGAAGTTGGATACGTCCATGATTACTTGTACTATATAATATTAAGTTAAGCATATTATAACTTGTTACAATTAGGCATACTGAAAAATAAGGACATACTATAAAGTAACAAATTTTATGAAGAACGTTATTAGTATCTACGTATTTTTACTACATACCATTGATAAAATATGACAAAATTAAATTAATAGAAAACAAATGGCGTGTCGTGTCTAGTAAATTTAAAGGTTTACCTTACCCATACCACCCCATTGTCACTGAATCAGATCCATTGTTCACCAAGAGTTATTTGGCACTTGTTCCGTTCCGCAACGCCGCAACCCCTTCTCAAATGATTAACGATCTCTGTATTGGTTATTTATTTTGTTCTAGAATGAATAAACCTGATTCTTATGTATATATCGTGCAATAATTGTGTATCTTTCTAAATTGGTTGTAATATGAAACAGGTAATATTATTACTAGTAAACAACTTGAAGACATATTATGAAAATTGCAAATTAGACCTATTCTGAAGTCATTAAATAATTACTGTACAGTATTCAATATCAATTAAAATACATGTAAAAGCATTCAATATTTGATTTCCATGAACTGTTTGTTGTTATATCAGAACCAAAAAGTATTATTTTTAGCGATGTATTTTTTTTTATATGTTATTTATGTTTGTTATGCATTTACCTAAATGTAATTATTGAAGTTTGTATTTACATAAAATTAAAAATCCACAGACCAATCGGCGAAGGCAAATCGAAGCAGAAAATGCGTCAGGGTAAAAGTGTTCGACTGAATATAAACGCTAGAGAACGAAGAAGGATGCATGATCTGGTAAATTAAAAATATATTTACACAGAATATACATTTTAAGGTGAAAATTATTACTAAATTCAGCTAATAAATTTCAGAACGATGCATTAGATGAATTGCGTAGTGTGATCCCATACGCGCACTCTCCGTCCGTGAGAAAACTCTCCAAAATAGCAACGCTTCTGCTCGCCAAAAACTACATTCTGATGCAGGCCAGTGCCCTAGAGGAGCTGAGAAGGTAAGTTATTGCAGTCAAAACATATAATATAAGTAATATTTTCTAATTATTGTATAATCCCGTGCTATATTATGAAAATGGCGACCAATAAATATACTCGACCGCGTTTCGATACCACGTGACATGCGCAGTAATATAATTTTATGTACAAATCTATTGTTCAAGCTTGATTGCCGCGAACTGAATAACTTATAATTTTTCCTGCATTACATATGACAAAATTATAGTAAAAAAAGTGTTGATTGCTTTTTATATTTTTAGCAATAGATAAATTTTAGTTTTTAGAAATAGTAGTAAAAATAACTGATATATTTTGAAGTATATTAAAGAGAGCATAACACGTGAGGGATAATAAACAATTATTAGTCGGTTTTCAATATTACACTAGTTAGTAGGACGAATGGTATATTTGTATTATTAGTTGATTATCTCATACATCCTAATTTAAAAAAAACTGACTACCTTGATTTTAAAACCATTGTTATAGTACAAATAAACAGTTAATGCTTTTTAAACAGTTGGAATAATTTAAAACAATATATAATATTTATAAATATTTTTCAGGCTCGTCGCATACCTTCAAGGTACAGCAACAGCAGCGGGCATCGTCCCGCCCACTGGGTTCGATTTAGCAGGCTTTCCAGCGGCCGCCAAACTACTGCAAGGGCCCCCACCGGGCCCACCGGCGCCCCCGGAACCACCATCTTGAGACCTGCATATCAAACTGGAACCTTAGTAACTAAGCTATGTAGACATTCTCGATTAACATTGCTCATCTTTAGAAATCAATAGATATATATGTATAATTTGTTTTACCAATTAACGTAACGTAAGTTTGACTGAAAAGTATTTTTTTGAGAATTACCATAATAAAATTTGAAATGTGAACATAAAGTTTACAGAACTATTTTTAGGTTTCTTTCGGTTGTTATTATATAGGTTTTAAAAATAAAAATCCTTACGTATTTCGAAACATTCATCTATTTATCTATCAGTGAAAAATATATTTCCGTTTTACAAATAGTACAGGAGGAAGATTAAACTTTAATACAACATAAGTATCTTGTTCGTAGGTAAGAAAAGAGTCGGTAAAATGTTTTGTATGTGCATTTCATAAAGTTTTAAATACGTTTATAAAAGAAAAATAAACTTGTTCTCATGAAGATGTGAAATTCGTAATCCATTGTCTTAATACATTACAGTCCATTATATGGGAATGTATGAGTAATTCTATATTCTGTTAGTAGGTACCTATGATTCGAATAGATAGAGAAGACGGCAGAGGTACGTCATCTAAATTAAAAGAAATATTTGTTTTGGCAGTGCCCAACACTAAAGAAGTCAAAACTTTTTTATATCCCACCTACACTCTGAAAAACAATGAATCATACCATTAATTCATTAGTATACTAAATTATAAATAACTGACATTACGTTAATTACGGTTAATCAATAAATCTGTATAAAATTTTATATAATTTGTATAATCATCAAACACCAAAGATTTCTCAGTTTAACCTTTTGGAATTATTTAAAAAATAACGACATTAATTTTAGTTAGTTTAGTAAGAGTATATAAGTTATACTAATATTAGAATTTTAAATTATATATAATTTTAGATATAATACAAGAATGCGTGCAATTGTAGACAAATTATATATAGATATAGATATATCAGCGGCTCAGTTTTAATTCTTCAAATTGTGATGACAATATGTCTTTTCTTTCCATTAACCTATATGCTTTAATTATAATCTCTAATCAATATATTATTTTTAAAACAGATGTAGATAACCTTTTTACTACTACATGTTTTTTAGTTTAGTTGATCTGAGGAATCTCTAGTACGTGAAGCGTAACACATTAGTTCTCAAACAAAGAAAGCATAAGAGTTACAGTTTATTCTGTGATATCAAATGTATTGAAACAAGGGTGGAACAGTATTACGGCATTCCTTTGTTCACTAAATGTATTATTATAATAGTTGTATTTTAAGAAGTCAAGAAGCAAAATGGAATATTCGAAAATCAATACATACTAAAACCTTCATATAAACATCACGTCCATGTGATCCATTTGGTAATTTAAAAACTTTTGTAAATTTGATTCAGATTTCTACTTTGTTTCTAGATTGGTTTAGTTTAGTTAGTAGGTAAGAATTGTAAATGGCTTTTGGCTTGATACTCTTTACGAAAGACCCTGAATATTTAAATATAGGAACGTCGCGTAAGACTTAACTTACGAATTGAATGAATAATTATTAAGGTTATATCATATGTACATACTATTATTAAATCGTTCATTCATATAAGTAGATATTTTGTAAGAAAATAAATTATTTATTTATACAATAATATTACGCGGATTAGTGGCAATTCATCGTCATTAAATATAAATTATTAAAAAAATTGATTCTTATAATGATTAAAAGTTACAATAATCATTTATATTCTTTGTAAGTTATTTTTTTCTTAATTTTTATCGTCAATTAATTAATATACAATAGTAAATTTAATTGTTCTTTCTGTATTACATAATGACTAAGTTTAATTATAAAAACGAATCAGTAAAAGTTATTACTGCTGAACATTGGCCCAAAATTTTGGTTGATACTAAAATTTTGTTTTACTCTATTAATGAGCTCATGGTATACCTAAATTGCCTGTATTTTTTTTAAATGTATAATTATATTTGGTCAGATATGTTAGGTTAGTTTAAGATGTAAATACATCTCTCTCTACGAGTCCAGAGATATCTGCGAATCAATGTGCCAAATTGAAGTAGGTAGCAGCTTCTATAGAAGTATTTAGATATTATATAGATATATTGTTTACGGATAATGTAATGTACATAAATGTTCCAATACAGAATTTAATCTTTTGCGGTTTTTACACTTAGTCGTTGTAGTCTTCATTTATATGTAGGTACTTATATATTAAGTTACTATATATAGATTAAGTAATATATAAACACTGATACACCAAACATTTTATAGAAATAACTTGTTTAATTGCAAAAATAACTAATCCAAAAGTGGTAATTACTGGATCAGTTCTAATAATTTGATTGATTAAATAGATTTATGTCAAAAATTCCAATTCGCTCATCATTTAGCTATATTGTTTATAAATCTTTTACCTGTGTAATCATATTTAGTGTGGTAGGTACATCAAACTCTAGTCTATAAGTATAAAAGAAAGCTAAAACTGATAGTATCCAATAAAGGATTTTTACCTAGTTATTATTAAACATTATTTAAGGCTATGTTAGGTTAATTTAAGATGTATATACTCTCTACGAGTTTAGAGAAAAGTCACAGTCATATGTACCAAATTGAAGTAGATAGCAACTTCTATAGTAGTAGATATATTGTTTACAGAACCATGCTGTAATGTATATCTAATTCTTAGAAGTAATATATGAAATCTTAATTAATTAGAAGTAAATAATCTTCACGTCCAATGGTAGAATTTAATATTTGCTTTCTGTAGATACTTGCCGTACTGTTCCATTGCAGTACACATTATCAAGTTCATACCTGACGACCCGTGCCGACAACGCCGTTCGATTAACGCATTTCCAAAGAGGACATGCGTGGCGAGTAATGCGATAATCAAAAGACGATATCGACGAGGGCCGTATGGATTAAACTTGATATTGTGAGTCCATTCAAAGTCGTTTTATTTTTTATACCTACTTATATATTAACTTTGATATTCCAATAATTCACTTACAGTCGTAACTTGTTTACTTGTAAAAGCAAACACTGCTGGAAAGTCGGATTAAAATTATGATTGATGTTAAGAATTAGTTATATAGTATTTTAAAAATCTCAATTCGCACATGATTTGCAATTATATATATATTAATTGTCTACAAATATGTATAACTATATTTAGTCCAGTAGGTAACTATACCAGTAGTAGTCTACAAATGTACGAGAACGCTAAAACGGACTGTATCCGATAAAGGATTTTACGTAGGTATTATTAAAACAATACTTAAGGCTATGTTAGATTAGGTTAAGATGTATATATTCTCTACGAGTCTAGAGAAGTTTCGACAAGTACCAAATGAAGTTTATAGTAACTTCTGTAGAAGTAGATATATTGTTTACAGAATCATATTGTAATGTATATCTAATTCTTGGAAGTAATATATGAAATTTTAATTAATTATAAGTATAGAATCTTCTCGTCCAATAGTAGGTAGAATTTAATATTTTCGTTCTGTGGATACTCATAAAAGAGTAGGTTCACATTATTAAATTAAAATCCGATACCCTGAGCTGACAATGCCCTGGGATTGGCGCATTTCATAGATGGATGGGCGAAGCAAAAAATGTGCCATTCGTACGACGTCTTTGGCACGGGCCGTCGGGTCTGAACTTGATAAGGTGATCCCAATCATAGTCGTTATAAGTTACATCATAATGTAATAAGTGAGTATTTTATGTGACGAAAAATACCGTCACATAAAATACTCACTTATTACATTATGGTGTAGAACCAATATCCGATAAAGAATTTTTTACGTATTATTAAAACATTAGTTAAGGGTATGTTAGGTTTATTTAAGATGCAGTATACTCTCTACAAGTCTAAAGAAAACTAAAAATCGAAATAGCTTGAAATTTCGATAGAAGTAGATAAATTGTATACAGATCTATATTGTATCTAAATCTTGGAAATAATATATAAAATCCTAATTAATTAAACAATATTTACGTCCAATGGTAAAATTTAATGTTTGCGTTCTCTAGATCATAGTAAATAGGGCCCACATTATCAGGTTCAGATCTGATGGCCAGTACCGATAACGCCCATTGATGGACGCACTTCTAAAGAAGGCCATAGCAATTAATGTTAAAAACGAAAAGCGTTTTCGGCACGGGCCATATGGTCTGAACTTTAATGTGAGCCTATTCTTAACCTTGTAGTTTTCTTTTATAACAACTTACATATAAAATTACTACTAATATAAACATGTCGTATAGCTATTATTTCGTCAGATTATATGATGACGTAGGTACTCAATTTTCAATCAAAATTTCCAATTCTGTTTATATAAGTGTATTTATATTACCTAAAAATAAAAAATATTTCTCTTGATTTTATAATTGACAAGTATAAATTAAGCTCCGATGTTAAAAAGTATACTTTAAAATTATAGTTGATAAATATGATTTTGGATTTTACAAAACATTTCATTGTTTAAGAATAAATACTAAATGTAATTCGTATACTCAAAAAAGATAACCAGTTACATGGAAATATTAGTAAATTACATCAAATCTATTCACTTAATTATACTCAAATGAGAACCTAGGTGTATGTCTGAAACGTTTCAATACTGTGTGTTATTTAATATTATCTAAAAATAAGAATTGAGCCAAAGTAAAATGTGATTATAATTAGCAAGTACCGATAATTGTATTTTATGGTTTAATATGAAAATAAAAATAAACAAAAATGTAAATCTGAAGTTTTTCTTACGTACTCTCTATAAAAATATCTGTTACATATAGTATTAAAATAATTTCTATTTAATTTTGCGTTTATGTAATAATGGCGCCAATCAAATAGTCGGTGTAATGATAAATAATTATTGATTGATATCGATAGTGTCGTGATTCTGATGGCGATATTCAGGAAATATGCAGCAGTAAATATAATATAATCTGGTTTTCATCAACTGTGATAACGCACGTTAGACATAACTGGTACTTAGCAACACTAATTTCAAATGTGATGAATTATACTTTTTGTTCTACATAAAATCAATGTGCCTGTACTAGGCACATTGGGTTCCTTAGGTTCCTTAATCTATTACATTTAATACACTCTACATTTAAATTAAATACATAATTCAATAGAATACACAGAAAAGTAAACAATAGCAGCAAAAAACATATCCAAAATTAAATCTGTTCAAATGCTAATTACAATTAGACATGTGTCCCTCTTAATAGATTTTGTTCATTTCTTTTTTTTAAAAGAGACAGAATTATTTGTCTATTAATTATCGTTAGTGACCGGAAAAGAATTCAAGTATACGAATTGACCGATGTGCCTGGCGAAGGATGATAAGGAGAATCGACCCCAAATAAATTGGGAATAGGCAATGCAGAGAGAGGGTGGGGGTTGTTAGTAATGGGTACTAGTGGACCGAGAGGATAGTGCAGACGGGTTCGCCAAACCATTATACATCGATACTAATTATATATATATATATATAATTATATATAGAATGATGCACCCGCCTACGTTAACGGTTCACTCTGGTGGGCCATCAGTAGAGGATGATAAGATGAGCTTGGGGTTAGCTCAGTTAACTCATTGTGGCAAATTCACCAGGATTCTACTAGGATGTTTTCCAGAGCGAACAGCGTGGATGGTCAATCTGAGATGATACATTGTTAGCAATGGATTCATTGGTTCACATTTTTTTTCTATTTAAAGTATTGTGTGCCGTTGTATTTGTGGCGACATCCTTTAGGCCTGTGTCTTATTATTATTATTATCTTGTATATGTA